CGGCGGTCAAGTACCTTGGGGTCATGATCGACCACAAGCTCAACTAAAAAAGCCACCTGGAATACGCAGCGGCCAAGGCCTCCAAGGCTACCGGCGCCATCTCGAGGATGATGGCCAACACACGCGGCTCTAGGCAGAACAGCAGACGTCGACCATACTATATGCCGCGCCGATATGGGAGGAAGCCATGTTGGACGCGGGACGTCCAAGGTCGGTTTCAGGAATTAATTTTGGTTCAGGTGTGGTTGCTGTAAAAGATTCCGATCCAGTCCCAGAGTAGAACGCTAGAGGATTATGCCGTAAAATGTATCTTAATGGTTATTGACTTAAGGTACAATTCTCAATAATTTCATGCCGGGTCTCGATCCTGGGGTACGTCTTGGTTCCGATTCGTCCTCCTTTTCCTATGAGCGGCTGTCCGGTAGGGATGATACCGATAGTCCCGCCAGAAGATAAGTTATTTGGACTCGAAAGTCATCCACGAGCGTATGCGTTCGGACGCGAAAGTCATCCACGAGGGGATGTGTCTGAACTCGAATGTCATCCACGAGAGAATGCGTCAACAAAACAAGGTTGTTGTCGGACTCAAAAGTCTGCTCAGAGACGTTATTGTCGGACTCGAAAGTCAGCTCAGAAAAGTTTGTTGTCGGACTCGAAAGTCCGATCAGAGAAGTTTGTTGTCGGACTCGAAAGTCAGCTCAGAGAAGTTTGCTGGACTCGAAAGTCAACTCGGAGAAGCTCGGACTCGAAAGTCAGCAAAGATTCGGACTCGAAAGTCAGCAAAGATCGGACTCGAAAGTTAGTAGAGTTCGGACTCGAACGTCAGCAGAGGTTCGGACTCGAAAGTCAGCAAACATTCTGACTCGAAGGTCAGCAGAGTTCGGACTCGAAAGTCAGCAGAGGTTCGAACTCCAAAGTTAGCGGAATAGATTTGGACTCGAAAGTCAGCAGAGTTTGGACTCGAAAGTCAGCAGAGATCGGGCTCGAAAGTCAGCCTCCGTTCGGTCCAGTGTGACCCTCCGCTCGCGATCAGTGGCGCGAGTGCATTCAATTAAAATATTTTCCATTCTGTCGTCGATCCATTTCCTATGTCGCTAATTGTTCCTATTATATTCTATATTTTCCTAAGATGTATTGTGCGCGAAAAAAAAAGGGGGGTACTACGCTGCTGGTTCGTGTCCGGCATGACCGCTTCCCAAATCCTCCTGGTCTCCTTGTCTGCGGCGTTACTCGACGGCCGGCTCTCCGTTTTTCTCAAGCGTCACTCGACGGCAGGGTCCCACTCTTCACCTTAAGGTGGGGCAGGTCTCATATGTGGCGTCTCTTGGCCAAAATCCAGTGCTCCTTCTGTCACTTGCCGTGTGTGTCCTTCGATGGCTTGCCGCGTGGCCACTCCTCGGAGTGACCTTCTCCATTTGCCGAAAATCTTCTTCCGTGTCACTCGACCTCGTCTTCGAAATTCTACTTCGAGACTGATTTAAACTTCTCTTTGCGAAGTTTCTCAAGGTTTCTCAGGTTTTGGCTTCTGGAAGCTTCTCTCATCGCTTCCTTTCGCTCTTTTTCTTGGGCGCATGCCAATTTTCGGGGGTTGCTTGTCTGCACGATCGTGTGCTCTCTTTCTCGCCCTTATGCAACGCTTTGTCATGTGACCACTTTTCGTGGTGGTTGTGCTGGTGCGTGTGTGTCCGTGCGAATTCGATTGCGATGGCAATCCGTACGCCTACCAATTATGATGGAAGTAAGGGTGGGTGACTGGAAATCTTTATCCTAAATATACCTACCTAAACTTATATTTTTAATTTGTTATTTACATAATTTTGTTTGAGTCGCTTGGTGTAGGGGCTATTTGTGGGGAGTCGATTGACTCCTCACATCTCACATCTCCCCTTTTTCCTTTTACAGAGATATGATTATCTCGTCCTTCCTTGTGATATGCACTCGGAATTCCTCCTCTCCAGCGAGGAAGAGGAACTTTCGGTCCATCCGGCGGTGCGTACCCTCCTGTGGGCGCACGTGCTCGACGAGCGAACTGGGGATGCGTCCCCCCCTTCACTTGGACTCGCCAATGCCGTAGTGGAAGGACCCAGTCCTCTTCCGGCGGTGGGTATGGCGCGCTGTCGCTGCCCTCGTTAAACGTAGGTTGCGGTGCGTTGGAAGCGGGTCGTGGTCTCGGTTGCTCTCTGCCTTGCTTCTCCTCCTCCGTGATCCCCTCCATCTCCGCAATCTCCGCGGCCCAACTCGCAAACGGAGGCGGAAGGTCGGCTGTGGCGACGGTTGCGGGTGTGGCGGCTGCGGCCAGTGCTGGCGTCTCCTCCTCCTTGCCCGGGTAAGTATTTCCCGGGGCGACGGTGGCCATGTCGTCGGTGTCCTCGAGCTCAGGCTGGTCGTCAGGAATCGGGGCCATCGCGGTCGCTTCCTCCCGCGTCCCGAGAGTTTCCGAGGAGAGTTTCTAAGACGAGGACGAGCACACGGAAGGAGACTATTTTGCAAGCGGAGAGGGCGTTTGCCCCTCCGGGCAGCTACCACGAGGAGTTACCAAGGAGAGGTTCTAAGCACCGGACGAGGGCCAACAGGCTACCCACAGGAGACTCAGCCGTCGAGTGACCCTGGAGAAAACAGAGAGTGGCGAGTGGCGTCGGAGAAAAGGAAACCAGGAGGATTCGGGAAACTGTAACGAGTGGCCAGCGAGTTGTAACCGGCCAAAATGGCCACGTGCACAGAAAATCTCGACGGGCCTCGATGCGGTATCACCTCAGAGTAGGCTAGCGAACCTAACCCCAAAAACATAACCTCATTTAACCGGTTAACTCTAAGTCAAAGAAAAGCCTTAATATTTTTATGGGAAAATCTAAGTCACACAAATATTGAAGCCACGAACCAACAAAACACTGCACTGAGAGAAATAAATAAAACCCAGTCACGAAAAAAAATGCTAAAATAAATACTTCTCTTTCATTTTACATACACACATGAACCCAAAAGCTGGTCTACGCGGAAAATATATGTATTTGGAAATCCGATACTTGTCCTTGCCTAGGCTCAGCCGGCCACATAATTTAGAATGGCAGCGAGTGCTGACGGAGGCACATCCGATCCGTGGTGGCGACCATTTCGGTGAGTGTCGGTTGCGATCTTACCTAGGCTCTAGATAGAGGATTTTGCCCCCTAGATAAGTGTCCCCATAATCGATCCCTCTCTCCGTCTCATTGTGGTGAGTGCCGTAAGCCAGATCCAATTTCGCTCTTTTGCAAATACTGAAAGAAATTCGTTTCTTAATCAGTATCCCGGTGGCTGACACTCTCCATCTCACGTCAGCCCACCATTCGTCGAAGGCCCTTGTCCCAATCTTTATAAATTTTCTGTAAAGAGATCCTGGCGTGACTGAGCTTCACCCAGCCTTAGAACCTTAAACAGTCGACATATATTTATATTATATATAATTTCTTATACCCGTGCAAAGTGCTCATGTCCTTGTAGTCAACTTCTTTGTTCTTCATCGTTGTTAAGTATTTTTGATGAAGTAACTTTGTTGTTGTTTTTCTTTGGTCCGTGGTGATATGAAATAAAAAATCGAAAGAAATATGTGAATTAGGATTATTGGGGTTGCTCGGCCTAGCTCGCCGGTGTCGGGGTTCGTTGAGAAATGTATAAATCCGGCCCCTCGTGTCCCAACTATAACCAGTGAAAGGCAGAGAATAATTCAGTTAGATCTTGGTTTATGCGTATTTTTTCAGTGAAACCCTATAAAAAGGAAAGTTTTGTTCGGCATTGTTGGGGCGTCTCGCTGATACCAAAGAGTATAGAATTATATAGAGCGGACATCTCATACAAAAAAAAGTGTCGTATGGCGGGTTCCAGCGGTAGAACCCGCATTTCGAATCTGGGCACCCCGAGGCCTGCTTGCCAGTTGGTCTAGTGGCTAAGGTATCCGACTGCCACCCTGAAGTGCATGGGTTCAAATCCTGGTTAGACTTAAGATTTTTTGTCTTTTTTTGTTTTTTTTTTTTTTTAGAAGAAACTTTTGTATTCCATTTTAGTGTTACCAGGATATGTTTGACAAATAAAAACAAATCTACAACACGATTTGTGGGTATGTGTGTTGTTAAAATATTACATGTTGTATGCATTTGTTTTCGTTTTATGTTTTTAATTATTGTGTTAGATTAATGTTTTAAATTAAAAACAGTCGAATAAACTGATAATAAAATATAATTACATATATATTAAATGTTTTGATTTTATAAGCCCATTGCAACGAAATATTTTTGTTTAAAAAAGTTCTTAGGTTTCAAAACTCTTTTAAATATTGTAATAAATAAAATAATATAAAAAAAAAGAATTATTAATAATAGAAAACACGATACTATAAAACCGTCATTGTCAGGGATTGATCCACTCATCTAAATTTCCGACTAACGCGTGAACCGGCACGACCATAGGACCGATTAAAAGTATGATGCACAAAAACAAATATGAATTTTAAAGCCTTTTGATTCTCGCCCTAGCAAATCCAAAATGAAATTTCGTCTCGAAATGTGTTGCCGCGTTCACGCACACATACACACAAAACTCACTTACACTTATGCATTGTGTGCGTAATAAACGAAATCTAAAAATAGAACCAGCAAATCATTCCCCGTTTCCCCTCGCCGACAAGCGTAAAGCAAGCAAAGCATGCCAGATGCGCTCTCTATATAGTTCTATACTCTTTGCTGATACCCTGGATATAGGTGTGTAATTAATGATCCCTTGTCGTGAGCGATGCGACTGCGCGATGTGTGCGAATGTTAGTCGGCTTGGTGGTACCCTGTGTGGGTGATGCGACTCCGCGAAGAGCGTGCGGGCTGGTCAGCTTTTTTTTTTTTTTTTAATTCGTTTATTGAAGTGAAATAGATACAAAATTGCGGGGGGATAGAAGGGTTGGGTCACACAGATATCGGGATGGTTTGCTCGTGCGGTACGGCCGCGAAGCAATGCTTCGCTCGGGCGCTGATCCCGACCTATGATGCCTCCAGGTTCCTGCATCGCTCCTCTGCTCGGAGCATCGTCATTGCCCTCGCTGCGAAGTCCGACACGGCCTGCCAGTTCGCTTCGGATATCAACATCAGCGGAACTAAGTTTTCCACTGCGATGGTGTAGCTCAGCCTGGCCTCCAGTGTTGCTCGCTCGCCGGCAAGTCTCGCACAGTTAAAAACCGTGTGTTCTGCCGTCTTCTGCGGCTGACCTTGGCAGTGCGTGCAAGTGTCCTCTTCCTCGTGGCCGAATCTCCGCAAATAGCTCGGGAAACAGCCGTGGCCGCTGAGAATCTGGGTCAGGTGGAAGTTTACCAGACCGTGCTTCCTCCTCAGCCAGCAGTCCAACTGTGGAATCATGCGATACGTCCATCTCCCCTTCGACGATGATTCCTACCGCGTTTGCCACGCTGCCAAGGTGGCTTCTTTCGCCGCTAAGCGTAACACCTGCTTCTCGCGAGGAGTCCGCGTTCTACCAATAGTCTTGCCGTGGATACTGGCCCTCTCTGCTGCTAACAGGTCCAGCGGAAAAGTCCCGGCTAGGACAAACGCGGCCTGATCGGACACCGTCCTAAAGGCGCTACAGATGCGTAGTGCCGCGAGGGGATGGGCCGAGCACAGTCCGCGACTATAGGCTGGGGTCGCTAGCGCATGCCCCCATACTGGTGCCGCATAGCTCTAGCTACGCTGGACAATAGCAGCCAACTCGCCTGCTTCGGGCGCCTGTGATTAAGCATTAGTCTGCTGACTGCTCTCACCGCTGTGGTGGCCTTTGAGCTCGCAAACCCTAGGTGCTCGCGGAAGGATAGCCTCCTATCGATCATTACGCCCAGGTATTTTATGGCACACTCACTCGCACACTCGGATGGTTATGACCTCCACCTTCTTCCGGCTGCTCACCAATACGGCTTTCATTTTTTGCGGCTCTAGTTGTAGACAAACACTAGCCAGCCACGAGTTAATTCGGCTGATGCTCCTGTCGCACAAATCTTCGGCTCCTGAGAGTTCCTTGTCGACTACGACTACGGCTATGTCGTCAGCAAATCCCACCAGCTCGGTCCGGCCTGAGAGCGGGAGCCGCAGAACACCATCGTACATGGCATTCCACAGCAACGGTGCCAAAACCGAGCGTTGCTGAACTCCGCAGGGGAGCTCGGCCGATCTGACACCGCCGTCCGAGTCGTACACCAGGGTTCTGCCTCTGAAATAGCTCTTCAGCAGCTCCAACAAGTACGGGGGTACACCGAAGCTGGATAGTGCATCCAGGATACATCCCCATCTCACCGTATTGAAGGCGTTGCGGATGTCTAGCGTGACAATCAAGCAGTACTCCTTCGCGCCTCCTTTCCACCGTTGTCCCGCAATGGCGGCTTTTGCGATGCCCACCACTTTGGAGATAGCATCAACCGTCGACGTAGCCTTCCTAAATCCTAACTGGGAGTCAGATAGATCGCCGGCCGCAGCGATGGCCGTCTCTAGCCTCGTCCGGATCAGCTGCTCCAGCACCTTGCCCGCCCGTCAATCAGGCAGAATGGTCTGCTTCCTGGTTTCGGAAGCAGGACCAGCCTCTGCACTTTCCATCTCCTAGGAAATGTTCCTTGTCTAAGGCACTTTCCGTACAGCTCCGCGAATAGGTCCGGGCGAAGCGAAAGAGCAAGTCTCAGGGCTCTATTGGGAACGAGGTCAGGGCCAGGGGCTTTGCCTCTCTGATTTTCGCCACCGCTGACAAGATTTCCGTCTCCAGGACTGGCTTGAACCCTTCCAGAGAGTGCGTAGCAATCTCCAGCGTGGCTCTGGGGTTATCCGGCTTTGGGAACAGGTGCTCGACTATCCTGTCGATGCTCTCCGCGTCATGAGGGGCGCCCTGTTTTGCCCCGTGGATCTTTTTGACGATGATCCTGTAGGCGTTTCCCCAGGGATCGTGGTCCGCGGTGTCGCAAAGGTCCAGAAAGCATTTGGTTTTGCTTTCCCGGATTGCCGCCTTGAGAGCCTTGCGGCACCGGTGGTACTCGGACCGCCTCTCCAGGTCGGCTTAATGATACCCTATCTGAGTGATGAGGCTGCGCGTAGGGCAAGTGTGTAGTCGGCTTGATGGCACCCTGTGGTGGATGATGCGACTCTGCGACAAGAGTGTGGGTTAGTCGACTTGATGATATGTGGGTGATGCGACTGAGCGTAGGGCGCGTGACCGATTGCGGGCTGGCTGTTGCTGTGGTTACGGGTCCGGGTGACGTCCATCGTAGTTAGCAAACGTCGTCGCCTAAGCTCGCACCGTTCCCAAACGCTTCGCTGATACCCTAAACCTACCAAGATCAGCCGAAGCTTGTCCCATCCTGTGCGTACTTACTTTGACCCGCGTCTATAGTACCTGCATACGACCAAAGACATTGGAATTATCAAATTCGTAACGTCCGTACATTTGTTTTGCAATATAAGGCTTCATTTTTTATGGCAACGACAATCGCGTTCTCCCTCTCTCACAAAGTTGCTTTTTTATTTTGTTTATTAAAGAATATGTACAAAAAGGGGGGGATAGAAGGGTTAGGTCACACAGACATCGGGACGGTTTGCTCGCGCGGTACGGCCGCAATCAGCAATCTCCAGCGTAGCTCTGGGGTTATCCGCCTTCGGGAACAGGTGCTCGACTATCCTGTCGGTGCTCTCCGCGTCATGAGGGGAGCCCTGTTTTGCCCCGTGGATCCTCTTGACGATGATTCTGTAGGCGTTTCCCCAGGGATAGGTTTGATTTTGCTTTCCCGGATTGCCGCCTAGAGAGCCTTGCGTCACCGATGGTACTCGGACCGCCTCTCCAGGTGGGAGCTCAAACGGTAGGAGCGCTGGTAACGGCGCCTTGCCTTCTGGCCGCGGCAATCGTATGGTTCCTCAAGTACACCGTCCCTGTGGCGAGAGTGGGCACGCTTGGCAGTCATGCAGTCATCGCATGCGACTTGCAGTTGGTCCATGGTAGAATCCACCATCTGCTCTGCATAGCCATTTGCTTCCAACCTCTGCATATGCTCCGCGAAGGATTGGATATCACTGCATAAAATGCGGTTGCCACCGCATTGTTTGTGATTAGGGCAAAGACACACAAAAATTTGCGGTGGAAGGAGACACTCTAAAATGTACTATTTTTTTTTATGCGCGTCACTGTCGTATATTCTTTTTTAGGTATATTAAGTCTCGACCAACGCCAATATTACATAAAAGAATGAGAACATTCAATAAAACAATTTGAAATGTACACATAGCACGTTGCTTTTACATAAAAAGTTTACCAAATAATAAATGCTGCTCATATTTGGCACCGCACAGAAAGAGCGCACAATAGAAACGAGAAAAAAACACCGCATCATTTTTTGATGCGGGGGTTTGAACACGATTTTAAAAAAATACGTTGTGTGAATGCAGTGTACTTGTAGTTGTGGTGCACTAATATAGATCTCTAGATCTACCTATTTCCATCCGTGTGTACACTGATAAATTTTCTATCCTTTCTGATTCTTTAATGTGTATATATTCTTGATCAGCAACAGCAGCTGATTCGGTTAAGCCATGTCCGTCTGTTCATCTGTCCGTTTCAACGCAAATCAGTTCCTTTAGTTTCGAAGCTATCTGAACCTATCTGACCGATACACTGTGGTCGAGCTCGTCTATATCATATAGCTGCCATAGGAACAATCTGTTATAAATCAATACTTAGTATGAACAACTTTTTTGTTTTTCAAGATATCTTAACCAATTTCACAGATAATATCTATGTGTGGTACAGGTTTATGCATTCTTACCAAATTTGGTTAAAATCGCATCTCTATATCTTATAGCTCCCATACAACATTTATATAACATTTTTTTTTCTAAGACCTAACATTAATTTTTTAATTTTTGATCTCTTAATGAGAACGTTGGTGAAATATAAGTGCCCAAATATAAAAAAAAAAATGATTCACTTATATATTGTGTATTTAATTTATTTATTTTTAAAATATCCAAATCTGTGCGATGTCCGCATTCATTAAGATCATATTTGCATTTACATTTATTAGATCGGTCTTGCCAGTTTGCCTGAATATGGTTGGCAATGACATTACATTACTACATTTTTTCAGAGTAGTATTTTAACACCCCGTATCTTACAATACAATACAACTTTAAAAAATTCAACAAAATACATAAAGTATTTAATAATAATTGCGTAACTAGTAAAAAATTCAAACTGCAAGTCATAAGCGCTCTTTATGCGGCTATGACACTGGCGCATTAATTAGAGACTTCATTAAAGATTTGACAGCGCTATAGCGTTTTACACAAGTGCGAGCAAGACGACTATATGGCGCTCTAATACATTAGAATAATGCATTAGCTACTTCATTGGTGCGATAATCGATAGATCTACATAAAATATACTACATACTCGATAACAGAATACGGGTTTAATGAAGAAAATTGTAATTGAAAAATGTATTAGCCAGCTCATTGACAGAATGGTCTCACAATGAGAATTTTATTTGTATATAATATAATAATAATATGTTTTGCGGTGGCAAGGTTCTTGCGGTGTAAAATTAATTAAAATTTTTTTTGGTAATAATTTAAAAAATTTTAAGCATCATAGGTTAAAAACATAAATTTAAAGGATTCTGCATTTATTTATGCAAGAATACTTCGACGAGGAATTCAGAAATTCATAGTAATACGCCGCGAGTGGCGGCCGTTTTTTTTGTTTACCTTTTACGGTCGGTGTGACCGTAGTCGTATTACCAAAATAATCCAAGCAAAATCCAAGCCAAATTACACAAAATTACACATATAGTGGTCTCTTTCAAGGTTCTTATGAAGTAGCTAATTAATGAAAACTGCATTAGAGTATCATATGGGCATAACCAATGCCAGAGGTAGGACCCTCCTCGAGGCTTTCTCCACACTCGACGTCACCTTCCTCAACACTGGGGCGCAGCCCACCATCAGCAGAGCCGGGGCGAGTTTGTGAGCTGCTTCAGGGCTAGCCAGTGTACCTGGGTCCTGAATGATGCCTATACGGGGAGCGATAACGCAGCGATCCTCACCGCGCTGGCCACTGGGCAAGCGCAACCCACACCACTGCCTCCCCAAGCACGAAGGGGATACAAGGTCGACACCCTAGATATCCAATCCTTCGCGGAGCATATGCAGAGGTTGGAAGCAAATGGCTATGCAGAGCAGATGGTAGAATCCACCATCTGCTCTGCATAGCCACTTGCTCCAACCTCTGTCCCATTGTAAGATACGGGGTGTTAAAATACTACTCTGAAAAATGTAGTAATGTAATGTCATTGCCAACCATATTCAGGCAAACTGGCAAGACCGATCTAATAAATGTAAATGCAAATATGATCTTAATGAATGCGGACATCGCACAGATTTGGATATTTTAAAAATAAATAAATTAAATACACAATATATAAGTGAATCATTTTTTTTTTATATTTGGGCACTTATATTTCACCAACGTTCTCATTAAGAGATCAAAAATTAAAAAATTAATGTTAGGTCTTAGAAAAAAAAATGTTATATAAATGTTGTATGGGAGCTATAAGATATAGAGATGCGATTTTAACCAAATTTGGTAAGAATGCATAAACCTGTACCACACATAGATATTATCTGTGAAATTGGTTAAGATATCTTGAAAAACAAAAAGTTGTTCATACTAAGTATTGATTTATAACAGATTGTTCCTATGGCAGCTATATGATATAGACGAGCTCGACCACAGTGTATCGGTCAGATAGGTTCAGATAGCTTCGAAACTAAAGGAACTGATTTGCGTTGAAACGGACAGATGAACAGACGGACATGGCTTAACCGAATCAGCTGCTGTTGCTGATCAAGAATATATACACATTAAAGAATCAGAAAGGATAGAAAATTTATCAGTGTACACACGGATGGAAATAGGTAGATCTAGAGATCTATATTAGTGCACCACAACTACAAGTACACTGCATTCACACAACGTATTTTTTTAAAATCGTGTCTCAAACCCCCGCATCAAAAAATGATGCGGTGTTTTTTCTCGTTTCTATTGTGCGCTCTTTCTGTGCGGTGCCAAATATGAGCAGCATTTATTATTTGGTAAACTTTTTATGTAAAAGCAACGTGCTATGTGTACATTTCAAATTGTTTTATTGAATGTTCTCATTCTTTTATGTAATATTGGCGTTGGTCGAGACTTAATATACCTAAAAAAGAATATACGACAGTGACGCGCATAAAAAAAAATAGTACATTTTAGAGTGTCTCCTTCCACCGCAAATTTTTGTGTGTCTTTGCCCTAATCACAAACAATGCGGTGGCAACCGCATTTTATGCAGTGTAAATAGCACCCACTGGATCTTAAGCGAGTATACTTGTAATGCTTAAATCAGGCACCGGTGCCGATCTCTGGGTTTATCGCCTGTTGATTCTGATTATTGGATTATTATATAGTTTTTGTTTTAGGAGACCTTTCCTTTATTTATGTGTTGTTGAGCCGGCTTGCGGTCAGGGAGGGGTGGTAATATAACAATAAAAAAATAGAAAAACAACACATAAATATATAATTTATACTATGGTATTTGGTTTTTAACGAAATATTGCTCTTGTAAGCTTTAAAAAAAGGGATATAGAATCACATTAGCAAATACGATAAGACATTTCAAAAATGTTCACATACAGCAGGATGTATGGAATTAATTTTGTGATCTCAGCAGGGTCTGAGTTTTCACTTGAATGATTAGTAAGCCTAAATAAATTACATTATTAATTCATTGGCACATTTCAGTGGGCAGAAAGAGCATTCCGACTTCATCCCCTATTTAAAGGTAATTATGATAAAAGGGATCACGTTCTTACGATTGAATAAAAATTATAAGGGTAAATTATTCGATGTAAAGTTATTTGTCTCTATCATTATAAAGCTCCTTAAGGGGTTACATCTGAGTAACTGGCAAAAAAAAGCCCATTTTCTAGAATTTTTTTTGGCCAAATGAAAAAACCAATCGAAAAATTTAAAAGTAGGTTTGATAATGTTAGATGTGAACTACAAAATAAATATTTTTTTTAATAAGTCGAAAACAAAATGGCGGCTGTGCAGCATGTCTTCCTAGGCCCTATTTTTTTGAAAGGGGTCCATGGCCGAAAACCCAACGTCCTTAATTTTTGATCTAGAACAAAAAATCAAATTTTGTTAGTTTCTGTATCTCAACCGCTATTTTGATTTTTAGCAAAATGGTGAGTGATTAAATAAAATGTTCAATTTTCATGAAAAAAAAAAGTTCCAAAATTGTTGATAAAAAAAAAGTGCGCAAAAAAAAAAAAATCCTACGTGTGTCGATAGCCATAGGTATTTTGGATATACTGTAAAAATTTCAGATCGATCGGTTAAGATTTGTTCGAGTTATGTTTTCGGCCAACTCAAAAAAAGTGGTTTTGAGAAAAACGCGTTTAAAGTTTTAAGATCGTATATATTTACATGAGAGGCATCGCCGCAGAATGGAAAATTTCGACACTTAGACACATTTGCCGGACTCTATCTTTTGGTATGTTATTTTTAAGACCCTAAAGAATTTTTTAAGCAAAAAAAAAAATTCGATTTTTAAAAAAAGTTACTCAAATGTCCTCCCTTATTTATATAGTTTCTTATAAAAAATTTTGCACTTGCTCTCATATCTCTGCGTACAGGACAATAAAAAACCATAACACTGACTTTAACGTCAAATATTTTGCACTGCGAATCAAAAATTAAAAATGGCAGTCTCAAAAGTTTGCGTACAGCAAAGAAGATCGTCATTTAATGTCCAATGCACTTATATTTTCCTTCAAAGTTGTCTTTGCGTCTTTGGTTAATCAATTTTTGTTGAAATCCAGCCCAATGCAAAACACGACACATTTGATTTTATGGTTTTTATATTGTTAATTTAATATAGCTCTTATAGCTCGACTTATCTGTTTCAGTTCTCAAATCAAAAAAGGGGAGAAAACTAGAGATGGTAAG